ACAGAAACACGGGAGGGCACCATGAGGGGCAGCAGAGAGGATGGACGCCCCCACCCAGGAGGTGCTGCCCAGGCGCCCGCGTGCCCACCCCCGGCGGGGTGGCCGCCCATCGTTACTGCTGGGGAGCGCTGCACGCACGTGGTTCCGGACGGGACGTACTTCCTCCGGCCCAGCCGTGTCTGCTGAGCGAAGTAGTCGTAGCGCTCCGACTTCTTCCACAGGTAGTAGTACTCAACACACTCACCCACAGACCGTGTGCGCACCTGTGGGGAGGGGTCAGGCGCCATCTGTCCCCCGCTGCCCAGCCCCTGCCCCTGCCCCACCATCCCAGGACGACTCCTGGGACTCCGGGACAGCACAGAAGGGGCACAGCACCCACCACGCTCAGATAACGCAAGACCCCCCTGACCCATGACCCTACTCAGGCCCACAGGCTACGCCCACCACGGGGAACGGGGGCTTGGAGCACCGTGGCACTGCCTCCTGTTTCAAGCCCCCTCAGAACCCCCCAGCTCCTGGCCGGAGACCCCTCTTTCCCTTCTGTAGCATCAGCCACACACACGGACCCTCCAGGCCATCTACTGCTCATCCACCCTATCCCAGACCATGAGCCCCAGGTCGGTCATGTCCACCTCATCCACCTGCTTCTCACAGGCCGGGGTGGCAGTGGGAGTGACAGCCCCGGGTCCACAGACTCCTGGACAGAGCCCCCGCCCCAGGAGGAAGAGGCACAAGCCCGCAGCGTCTGCTTTCCCGCTGAACACATCCCTCCAGGCCCAGCAGATGCTTCCCAAGTGCACAGAAGACACCACAGAAGGACACACGGGTTCTGTGAACCCCAGACTCAAAATTCACAACGTAACACATAAAGGCCAAAATCACATGCACGTAAGGCTTCAGGGAGACGAGAAGGAACACACAGCGAGTGCATTCCGCGTGGCAGGTGGTACAGAGCTGGGCGCACACCTGGCAACACCTCCAGCGTCTCCACCCGGGAGGCTCGTCCCCCAGTGAGCCTGGGACTATGGCCACCGCTGGTGATGGCGGAAAACCCCCCCTCACCTGGACACACTCTGGGCCAACAAACCCACGGCCACCCAGAACAAGGGTGGCCCGTGCTCACCGCTGCAAGAACAATGTGGGGTCCTGCCTGGGGCTGAGACCAAGACAACCTCTCTGGAGGGCAAACCTCAAATGCACGTCAGGAGGGAGCTGTTCTGCGAAGGGCTAGCCTGAAATACGCACTGGCTCCCTGTCCCGTTCCAGAGAACAGGCTGACCAACGTGTGCTGGCTACACACAGCCCCTCATGGCTGGGCCAGGACCTGCCCGGGAGATACAGAAACACGGCCCGGAGATATAGAAACACGGCCCGGAGATAGAGAAACACGGCCCGGAGATATAGAAACACGGCCCGGAGATAGAGAAACTGACAGGGGCTCGAGTGTAGCCCGGGAGCACCACACTCCGGCCACACCTCCCCTAGCTGTCTCCAATCAAAACACCACGTGGTGCTGGAGTCTGACAAGGACAGTCCACGGCTCCTGTGCACGGCACCGCGCAGTCACTCGAGCAACGTCCTGGGCCGTGCCACCAGCCCCGGGCAGGCACCTCCTCACTCCAGCCCTTCAGTGGAAGACATCGGGCCCCAAATGGAGCACGGCCCCAGGACACAAGGCAGACGCAAGGCTCAGCAACGAGCAGGCCCAGCCCACTGGTCCTGAAGGGGCTCAGTTCCCAAGCGAGGCGTGGACAGAGGCGGGGAAGCCACCGCTCAGAGCCACGGGAAGGGTTTCCGCCTCAGATGTCTGACTGCCAAGAGGCTGGCTGGCAAGTTATCGCTCAAGAAGCCGCAGGGCAGAGGGCGCTGCTGCAGCCACAGGGCAGAGACCCAGAGGATGTGGGGAAGGTCTAGGGGGGGCAGAAGGCCCCGGCACTCGGCAGCACCTGCCTGCCGTGAGGGTGTGTCCCGGGTGGCAGAAGGACCTGGGTCCCTGGAGGAGGGAACAGGAGAGCCCTGGTCCCCAGGGGTCAGGGGTTCTGCTGTGGGGTCAGTGCTGGACACTGAGACAGCAGGCTCTGCTCAGAGGATACAGACATGAAGATGAGGTGCCCAGGGCCCCGGGGTGGAATGTGAGGCAGAAACTACTGAGTTCAGCTTTCGGCACATTCTTTCCCAAAACCAGAGCCTTGTTCTTGCGGGGACGGGAAAGGGGCCCCAAGAAGGCAGCAGAGTCAACTACAGAAGACAGCAATGGGCGTGCGGTGAGGAGGCGGACACAGGACACGGGACACGAGGCCTCCAGTCGGCCGTGTGCTGTGTGCCTCCGACCCTGAGCCCCTCCCCAGATCAAGAAGCCCCTGGTGGAGCCTGGCAGGAGGAGGGCAGCGGAGTCCGCACCTTGTTGGCCTGGATCAGGTGAAAGTTCTTTCCGTGCACGCGGAAGCCGTGCTCAAAGTTCCTGCACTCCTCTTCACTCCAAGCACAGAGCCCATCTGCAAAAACGGCCGGGGAGACGGGTCAGCAGTGCCCAGGGTGGGGCCGCAGCGGAAGAAGGGCCCAGGCCACTGCTCACCTCGGATCACCTTCACGTTGAACCGCAGCCTTCGCAGGGCCTCCTCCACGTTGAAGTTGCATTTCACCAACTCGTACAGCGCCTGGGGAGAGACGTGGTGGTTCCTCCCATGAGCACAGCCCAGGAGCCGACAGCAAGAACTGTCTGTACCATCCAGGGAGTGGCATCAAGGGCCGTCCACACCACCCTCCCGAGCACTGTCAGGGCCACCGACACCGCTATCCAGGGAGTGACATCAGGGGTGTCTACACCCCCCGCAGAGACACCCGGAGGCGTCTCCACCTCCTCCCCGATACGTGGTTTTAACTGGTCCCCTCCCAACCTGAGTAGCTGTTCCAGTGCCCAGGCCTCCGCACACCTGACCCCGCCCTCCCTTCTGCCCTGCCTGGCCCCCGGAGGCACTGGGGTGTGAGCGCCCGCCCACGCCGCTGCAGCCCTCAGCCCCCGTCCCCGGCACGGCAGCCCCCACCTGCTCACTGTCTTTCACGGCTTCTCCCTCCGGGAGCTGGGGCCCGGCCATCTCCTGCCAACGCCGCTTCACCGCCCTGTACAGGAACTCCTCCACCTCCCTCTCGGGGAGGACGCTGGGGTCCCAGAGCAGCTGGTCTTCATTCTCGTAGACTGCACAAGCAGAGCGCAAAGGTCACGCTGCAGGAACCCAATCTGCACCCACACACGCGAGGACACGCGGAGCCGCCAGCTCAGCCCCGGTGACAGGGAGGAGGCAGCGTCCCGGCCTCCCTTTCCCAAGCCCCGGCGGCCACCGCTGGCTCCTCCTGGGCTGTGCTCGTGGGTCCAGAGCAGGCTCCGGGCGCCGCACACGCCCGAGTCCCAGCGACCGCGTGCAGGGAGCCGTGAGCGCCAGCAGGGGGCGCGCGGTCCAGCCCCGGGCGCAGGTCCAGCCCCGGGCGCCTAGGCCGGGGCGGCGGAATCCGAGCGAGGGCGCCGCAGCCGGGTTGTGAGCAGCGAGCCCAGGGAGGTGAGGCTGGCTTCGGGCTGCACCGCTACACCAGCCACGGAACGCAGAGGCCTGAGGGAGCGCCCGGGAGACTGAGACTCGGGTCCCGTGGAC